CAATCAATCAATAAGATCAAAATGAATACCGATTAGAATCACAAACACCAATCAAAACAACAAACAATGGAATCAGCCAATAATCACCGTTAGGTAAACATTGTAAAAATATTTGAAACAATCAGATCTCATCACCGTTATCATCACATCACCTTCCCTCTTATTTCAACAGTCCACAGAGCTCTTGATGAGTTAACTTTTCACGAGAATTTCGCTTGTGAAAAATCCATTTCAGGATGTTGTTCCATAAACCTGCAATGTACAGTTCATTGGAACAGATATAAACACATCACTACGAACACTAACAATACACTTTTGCAGTAAACAAATGAAAATTCTCCCCATGATAAGGCAAAATTTGTGCGATAGGTTCGTGTCATTAAAATTGGCCAGACAAACTTACTTCTTCAAGACATCCTGTTTCTTCTTCTCCTCAGAAGTGGGCAAACCCAATTCTTTTTGACGTTGGTCGTACATCATCTGCAAATCAATCAGCCAATTCTTTTCGATTCTCGAGCTGTGCATTTTGATTCTACCAAACTTTGGAAATAAGAAACCAAATGAATGAATGATTCAACGTAAAATTATAACCAATCAGTCGTACTTTACTAACTCGCAAATTCAATACATGAAAGATTGCTTGACATAATTTGGAAAATCATTTCACCAAACCATCAACAACTAACCTTTTCAACCATTTGTCTAGTCTCACCATCCAGGTCGGAAAGTTTTGAGTTCTCAGGCTGAACTTTTTTTGTGTTTATCTCTGGATCAGTCTGTACCAGTTTATTCCACCATTCCATTCCATTCATCTGAACACATTTTACTGTTTGGATACACCTGATAAGATTGGATGGATCACGTAATACTTATATTCTGTTCACAAAAAATGCTACAAATACAGAGAACAACATAATAATTGAGAGGGGATGAACTTCAAATTCAAGCAACCTTTTCGAAGTTGATTACAACAGTTTTTTTATCCTCCAGAATCCAAGTAGCACTTTCAGTTCTGATCTCAGATCTTAATGTACCATTCAACACCGGTTCATGCCCCTGCAACAAAGACATTCTTAATGACATATCGTTAAATGTTCACAATTGATGATGATTAAACAGCATTATGAATGAAAATATCTCAAAAGAATTATGAAAGAAAGAAAATTTAGAAACGATTTCAAAGAATCTACGAAAATGAACTATTACTAACTTTTACACCGACTTTGATTGACTGTTTACCAATATCAACGATACAATCTCTGGCTTTCAGTGCAAATCCCAAACGAAACGGTACACGCACCTAGAATTCACTACAATATAACTTTTCGCCCACTGTTGCTTTCATTATCATGATCATCATTAAAATTATTGTTTTTGTAAGTATAATCAAGGAACAGACCTCGACTTCACTGAGAGTTTGAGTCCACTGATAATGCTCCAAATCGCAACCGTTTCCAGCATTTGGTTTCAGTTTACCCTTATCTTCTTCATCCTCTTCCTCATCATTATCCTTCTTCTCATCCTTCGGTTTATCACCAGATTCCTTCTCTTCTAATTTCTTCTTTTCGTTCTCCAATTTTTGTGCCTCTTCATCGGTCAATTCTTTTATTCTTGGTTCATTCAATTCAGCTTCCTCAAAACAATCTTTTTTCTGTGTTATTCGTCGAACAAATAAATCGTTATCAAAGAGTGTATGGATTGATAACATTACAAAACTTACATTTTTCATAATTCAAACATAATTTCCATAATAAATTTTACATTACAACAAAAAATTTACAAAATTTACACGATAACATTACATAAATTTACAAAATTTACANATTTTTCAATATGAACAACAAAAAAAAGCAATTCTTGCAATGAACTCATCGAACGAACCTCACGAGCTTTTTGTGCAGCACGTCGTTTCTCTAAACGTTTCTGTTCTTCCTCCCTCTTCTTTCGCGCTTCTTCAGCTTTCTGAAATGAAGAACAGAGAATAATTAGCCAGAATAATTGATAACAGACGTTATCTTGTGATATTCATGAACGGATGGACAACGCTAGATTATTCTCATCTGCGGCTTAAATACGAGAAAATGAGAAGAACAAAAGACCTTTTTAGCATCAGCACTGTGCTTATCAAATGCTAGCAACACAAGCTGTTTAGCACTATCGATACCAGCGCCTGTATAGAAATCGGTCTTACGAGCAAGGAAACTGAAATTCCATTCATTGAAATCAGATTTAGTCAACGCAAACAAATGATGATGAATGCCTAAACAATATTCCACAAAGTCAATACATAATTCGTTACACTAATGAAAAATTTCGAGAATATATTAGATATTCAAAATGACTGTAAAAGGATATTCAAAATATCCTTTTACATTCATTCCATTTCAAAAAAAATTGCTTGCTTAAAATTGAGCCTCATCCAGGAACAAATATAAGCATAAAGATGAAAAAAAAGAGCAAAACAAAATCACTGAAGAGGAAAGCAACTAACTTGAATAGGACATCGAACAGCTGCGGTACTCCACCTTCCATCTGTTGAGCCAGNGTGTATCATGAAATATGGCATACTGTTTGATCAACTGACTAACTGGATGTCGTTTACAGTGAAAGCAAAACGAAAGCGATCGCTAAAAAATGAATCATAACATTTGAAAACGTCGGCGATAGAACGGTCATTAAACGATTTCTTTTTGTTTTACGGAACCGGATTTCGATTGCTCAACGGCAAAACATAAATCGGTAATTTTCTATTTCAAGTTGGTAAAATCATAACATATCGACTCCAGGAATTGCCCTATTTGCTACTCCGAGTCCATGATTCCTTAACTCATAATATTAAATGCACAATGCAACAAATCAAATAGAATGCGATGCAAATCGTTGGCACTGAATGAAGTGAGTCGCTTTACGCTACACAATACAACCATCAACACTTTTGAACTACGCGGCATTCCAGCTGCATATTGTGCTAACAGAATACGAACGCTTAAAGTGTCGAAGTCGGTGCGGTCGTATTTCGTTTGGTTAGTACCTCATCAATTGGCCAGTCGCTCATTTTCAATAGATTCAGCGAATGAAGTGGCTCGAACAATTTTAAAATATTGCCACAGTAGATAAAAATGCTCTGCAAGGTGCTCAACCGCTTTTCAGACTTCAGTTTCCACTCAGAAATATTTCTTTTCATTTTTCGAGTCAGTCACGAGTTAATGTCCGAGCTCAAAAGGTTGTGAGATGCGACGTTCGGATATATTCAATCCAGTTTCGTATATTGGATGATAGGTTATAGAATACCACTACGCCAAGAGAGGTCACTGAACCCGTTCACAAGTATCAGTACCGTAATCGAACTAACCAATACCCGCAAAGCACCAACCACCGTAATGAAAGCACACCGAACAGTTTCTCATGTCATAACGGTACTTTTGCACTGTAGTAGATCCCACCCCAGGCGCCCATCGAAAGAGAGAAAGGGGATATCCTCAGCATAGGCCTAAGCGTTGGTGTTAAGGAGTTACCGTGGGCTGGGGTCCACTACATTACGAAAGTGCCGTCATAACTTGTGTTTGCAAAATATCGACCATTTTCTAAATACCGAAATCGGTAGTAGTCGGTATCGTCTTTCAATACCGATACGATACCGTATTGAAAAGCAACTTTTGAAATATGAAAATGAGACTTGTTAAACACATTCTTTTTGAACCAATGTGTTCATAATTATTCAGGAAACAATTTATTTAACAAATCACTCACCAAAACTCAAGAAATTCAACAAAAAACAAAAATTGGCATGATTCATGCACC